CTTTAGCCGGCCTCTCTTGTTGAGTTAGCTGCACCCATCAAGTAAGTAATGGCATGAAGTTCATGGTATCTAAATGCATAGAGCACAGAAGAACCGTAATGACCAATTCTGAACGAAATAAAAATCCAGACCTTGAGGTTGCAACGCGATTCGAGCCATTTTGACGAATTTTAAATCGTGAAGCTGGCAACGCTGCAACTTTAAATTGTTCAAGCATGCGATTTCTTATCAAAAACTTTCAGATTGCACATTTTTCGTGATATTTTGGAGGAAATCATACCTCGAAACCTTCACTTTATCATCAAATTCGATATTTTTGAGTCTGCAACTTGGCAACGCTGCCGCGGGGACAAAAAATTTTGTATGGGCATGAAAATTTCAGAAAAATCACATCTTATACTAGGTTAATACATACTAAAAGTTCAGATCGGTCACGGCAAGGATGAGGGAGAAGAGGTTTAATTTGTCGCCCCATGCCCAGTGTGCTATTTCACCCTTAAAAAACCACAAAAATGCGATTATTTTTCAAAAATCTCAAACACTCTATTTCGAAATTGGCCAGAAACCCATCAGGCAGTACCCTACTACAACCTACGTTTTGAATTTTTGATTTTGAATGGAAATCACACTTCGAAACCTTCATTTTATCATCAAATTCGATATTTTGGAGTCCGCAACTTGGCAACGCTGCCGCGGGAGCAAAAAAATTGTGTATGGGCATGAAAATTTCAGAAAAGTCACATCTTACACCAGGTAAAAACATACTAAAAATTCAGATCGGTCAAAGCAAGGATGAGTGGGGGGGGGATTTAATTTGTCGCCCCAAGGCCAATTTTGCTATTTTACCCCTAAAAACCACAAAAATGCGATTATTTTTCGAGGAGTTCCAACAACCTGCTTCGAAATTGCCCAAAAACGCATTAGGGAGTACCCCACTACAACCTCCAACTTGAATTTTTGATGTACATTCAAGTCGCATTTAAAGTGAGTTCAAGCGCACCGTGCCTGCTAATCCTCTTGCTCCCTATCTTTCAATGGAGGGTTTGACTAGATACCTACTGTAGAGGTGGACTCTCGATATTGCGTCAGAGATCCCACCCTCTCCATAACAGTCTCAATTCTAAGAGCTTTTTTGAGCTTGAGAGTTTGTCTTTGAGAAAACTGGCGGCGTGTCTCACAAAATTTTATGTTTGAAATTGTACTAAAATTGCAACTTCTTGACGCATGCAAGAGCTCCATTGTCAAAAGGACACAACTGCAGGTTCAATTTAAGATTCACGGTGGCCCTTGACTGGGTCTATTGTACGTAAGAAGTACAGGCAAATTAGTAGACTTTTTTTAGGTGAAAATCACTATGAACACGTCAGATAAGAAATTCTCTTTTTAAAACACAATTAGCGTAATAAAGTGATTGTAGTAAATTTGTGTGTAGTGTGTACACTAAGTTGCAGATAGTGTTACAATTAGTGAAGTGCATGTAATCTATTTTAAAATTTCCTGCATCCTTGAACAATATTTTCTTTAGTGTGTGCACCCAGGTTTGCCCAAAAAGAGATGTAAGGATTTGAACTTAAATTCACCAATAGTCGTGCATCTGTCAATATTTCTCAAATATGATTTTCGTCATGTTGATAAAAAGGATGTCCCACTTTCCATGGGGAATGGCCGCAAGAGATTTTACATCCATACTTTCAGGAATCATAACGGATCATCTGAGGACCTAAATCCGGTGACCTTTCCCGTCTAGCCATCCAAGGTGGGAGGGGGAGGGGGTCAAAGGTCAACGCACAGATCGCAATAACTTTTGAACGAAACAACGGATCAACTTGATCTTGAGCTCAAATAAAAGCTCTTAAGGAGACCTTTCATTTAATGTATATTAAAGTCTGTTTTTGGTAATTTTTCAATGTGAAAAAAATCATTGTTTGATTTTTCAAGCCGAAAAATTCAATTTTTCGAGTTTTTCTACAAAAGAGGTCGCAGGAATCATTACAAAAATCAATGTAAATGAAAGCCCTTGATTAAAGCTTTAAAACGAGCTATAGTTCAACCTGAGGAAACAAATGGTTCAAAAGTTATGACCATTCAAAATTGACATGGCGCGCTATTCTCGAGGCCTGCGGTACCACCACGCGACACTCGCGTACCACCCCTCCCTACCTTTTCCTCTGGTGCCCGCTTCAGCTGATGACGGATACAGAAAGGTCCCAAGCTCCTTCCTTTAAAGAATGACCAATCGTTAGTGCAAAATTACTTTTATTTCTAACGAAAAAAGAGAAATAAAAATAAATTAAATGCAAATAAACGAAGAGACGCTGGCATACATTATTTTTTCGCCCCCCCCCCTGCGGGATTAATATTTGATAGCCGAATCAAGCCTTTCATCATTGTGGTATCTGATAATTCCCGTGCAGGTAAATCTTGATGAGAGGGGAATAGAGCGGAGAGAGGTGAGAGAGAGATATTCAGAAGTACATGCGAGTTTCAAGTACTGGTAGGCTAGTTGCGTACTAGAGCCTTTGAATATTATCTACAGCTGTTGAGTGTATTTTGCTGTAAAAGAAGCTTGATTCGGCTATTAAATATTAAATCATGCAGGGGGGGGGGGGGCGAAAAAATAATGTATGCCAGCGTCTCATCGTTTATTAGCATTTAATTTTTTTTATTTCTCTCTTTTCGTTAGAAATAAAAGTAATTTTGTACTAACGATTGGCCATTCTCTAGAGGAAGGAGCTTTGGACCTTTCCGTATCTGTCATCAGCTGAAGCAGGCACCAGAGGAAAAGGTAGGGAGGGGTGGTACGCGAGTGTTGCGTGGTGGTACCGCAGGCCTCGAGAATAGCGCGCCATGTCAACTTTGAATGGTCATAACTTTTGAACCATTTGTTTCCTCAGGTTGAACTATAGCTCGTTTTAAAGCTTTAATCAAGGGCTTTCATTTACATTGATTTTTGTAATGATTCCTGCGTCCTCCTTTGTGGAAAAACTCGAAAAATTGAATCTTTCGGCTTGAAAAATCAAACAATGATTTTTTTCACATTGAAAAATTACCAAAAACAGACTTTAATATACATTAAATGAAAGGTCTTGTTAAGAGCTTTCATTTGAGCTCAAGATCAAGTTGATCCGTTGTTTCGTTCAAAAGTTATTGCGATCTGTTCGTTGACCTTTGACCCCCTCCCCCTCCCCCCTTGGAGGACTAGACGGGAAAGGTCACCGGATTTAGGTCCTCAGATGATCCGTTATGATTCCTGAAAGTATGGATGTAAAATCTCTTGCGGTCATTTCCTATGGAAAATGGGATAGCCTCTTTGTTTTTTTTTCATCCCTAAAAAAGGCTTTAAAGGACTGCAACCATGTGTGAAAGATCGAGAAGAGATTGTGAAATTGTTTGTTCATTTAGGCTAGGCTTTCTTAAATCTAATACAAAGGATGAAGGCTCTGCAGACGCAAGAATTCTAAAAATGTTTTTCTTAAACTACTGAAGGAGCTTGAAAGAACAGAATATAGGCATCATTTTTTGGTTTTGCGTTTTAACATTTAAACATCCATATTTATCTACTGCGTGCACAAAACTCATTTTAAGAACTTCTACACTTGTCAGAAGTGGGTTTTTTTTTATGGCGACATCTCTTATAGCCAGTTCACTCTTCAATTTAACTTGATCAATTTTTCCTGTTTTTTTAAAAATGATTTTCAGTTGAAACAAGCCAAGCAGGCCCAGGAAACCTAGAAGTGACTGTAAATGGAGGAAGAGTCCCGACATCAGCTCAAGCTCAAGGATCTCACACTTATGCAATTTCATTTACTCCCCGCCAAGCGATGCTCCATTGTGTGGATTTGCATTTCAATCATGAACCAGTCCCAGGTTTGCTTTTGGCAATACTATTTTCATTTTATCAATCTCCCACGAAGAGACCACAAAGTTACCTATTTTACAGTGATTATTTTTATATGTTTTGGAGCGCTACTCGTTGATCACTTTAAGTCGACTATACGACCATGTAAGGAAAGTTTGGCAGTATGAAACACATTTGTAGAGGTATATTCTACATAACTAACCACAGTATACTGTAAATTTCTTTGTTTAGTGATTTTCAGAAGAGGTCGAAAGTGATGCCAAAATACGAGGGTTGAGTTTTAAGTAAGTTTATCCATTTAATATTCCTAAAACTATGTTAGAAAGAAAACTAGACCAGTTACAAAAGGAGCATATCCTCAGTTTTCTTACAAGCTATAGTTTTTAAAATTTGATGCTTTTTGTGCAAAGTAATGACAGATTTTCCACACCCACCTCTACCGCGCTGTAGGCTTAAAGAGAAAACGTACAAGCAAGTCCGTGAAGAAGTGAAATTAATTTATTACTACAAAAATTAGGAAACTGATTGAAGACTTTTCACCTTACTTCTCGATGTAATCACTTGCCCAATCTTGGCATTTTTGAAAATGGTGCAGTGACTTCTTCAATCCGGTCTCATAAAAGTTCTTCCGCAGCCAGTTGTTGATAGAAAACAGAAACTTCTTCATCCAGGTGATTTTCATCTTTTCCGGAGTTAAAACAGTATCTTGTGGTATTCTTTTCGTACAAAAGTTGTGAACATTCTGTACCAAAAGAATAAATTGATTTTACTCCTTCACAAACTTACGAGGTCTGTTAGATTAGAAACCGGATTTTGGTCATAACTAGCCCACAATGTGTCCAAATTACGTTTTCTTGAGCTTCTCTGATAGCTGAAAATATATTTAAGAACGCCACGTTCACAAATTTGAAAAATCCTAATTAGCTTCGTTGGTATGTGGCTTGAAGTAAGGCAACCTCAAGGGTGTTTTGCGATTTTTATGTTTGACCGAATTTTGTCTCTCTTTTTTCGGTCTTGCAATACATTTTTCAACCCACAAGGACGATTGGAGTTTCGTCACCATATCTTAGCCGTACACTAAAGTATTGTCACCGATAATTATCCTATCCAAAAATTTAGGATCATTGTTAGAACATTCAAGCAGCTAAAGGGAAATTGACATTTGGTTGGATTTTCGTTCAACGGACAACAATCAAGGGGCAAGTGTACCTGAAACTCGATGCGTGTCTACATATTCTATCAAAATTGTATGTACAGAGCCTTCAGAAATATTAATCTGTTCAACAAGCTCAAAACGACCATTTTCGAGCACTTTTACCTGCACTTCTTCCACGTGACAAATGTCAGTTGCCGTTGAGGCTCGATTTCCATGCTCCTTATCTTTAACGAACTCCTGACCAGTTTTGAATCGTTTAACCCATTCAAAACAGTGGGAACATCTCATACAATGATCATGGTAAACTTTACTTAGCATATACTAAAAGATTCGGTACAGGTATACCGAGTTTAAAATAAAATTTAATGTTGAATCTTTGCTCTATCAGTGATCGTCTGATGAAAATCGCAAAACGCATTTGACTTACTCGTATTCAAGATGACACAGAATAAACACTGATCAAAATAAACAAAATCTATGAACGTAGCGTTCTTAAGTATATTTTCAGCTATCAGAAAAGCTCAAGAAAACCTAATTCGGACGCATTGTGGGCTAGTTATGACCAAAATCCGGTTTCGAATCTAACAGACCTCGTACTCTTACGTTTTCTCTTAAACCCTATAGAGCGGTAAAAGAGGGTACGTTTAGACATGAGGTAGGAGTGAAAAATGGGTCATTCCTTTACACAACGTGCATCAAATTTCAAAAACTATAGCTTGTTAGAAAGCTGAGGATATGCTCGTTTTAAAACTGGTCTGGATTTCTTTCTGACACCAATAGTTTTGGAAATATTAAATGGGTACACTTACTTAAAAATCAACCCTCGTACATTTTTTTTCCAAATTCAGGGGCCCATTTCTTTTTGCGCTCAACCTCCCTCAAGCATTAAAAGTTGAGATTTCGTAGTTCAAGGGGTGTATTTTTATGGTCCAGAGGTGGCAGACTGTGTAATGGTGTGGAAATTGAATTTTCGACCTTAAAGATAGACTTTTCGAGGGATTTTCACCTACCTAATGTGAATAATATTGATGCTAACGACTGAACTGCTATTTTTCCCACAGCTCTGGCCCATTTTGTAATAGATTGGGTGATATGTGGTCAAGTTGCCGGTTTCTCTGGCTCCCATGCTCCCCAAAAGGGGGTAAAACAAAGTATTTGAAAGCTGGGAGGAAGGCCACATTAAAGTCATGCAGAAGTGTTTAATCCGTTACCTAACAATCTCTTCCCGCTTAACCCTTGAGTTGTTTTGTTACAAGTTGTGCATTGATGTGCGCTGTTTTATTTTGAAGAGAGACATTCATAAGGGTAGTGGGTGCCCTTACTGTGAGAAGTGAACCATGGTTGAAGGAGAAACTTATCTAAATGAATCATTTTTTCAGGTGTTTTTTGTCCTCCAAACAATTCTTAATGTGATAAAAATTATTTTTCACAGTTAGTTATCTTCAAATCATCATATGAGGACTTATATGTGACAATTGCGGATGTCGAGTTTTCACATAGTGAGATAATTGCGTTTGAAGTTTTCAAAGCTTTGCACTTTTCCGCCTGTAGAACCGAGAGGATTCTTATAAAGATTTTCATGAAGAGCAACTCTTCCTGTAAAAAACATACGTTTTACAATCTATGTAAGTGAAAAATTGAAGAAGTAACAGCGATTTGAAAAAATGTGACGTCCGCTATTTTTACTGAAAACTAGAGTTGGGCCGGGTATCCGGCGATTATCCGGATTGCCGGATTATCCGGCCGGATACCGGATATCCGGCTCCGGCCGGATACGATTTTCGCGAGTATCCGGATCCGGCCGGATAATCGCGCTATCCGGTTTTTGGACCCGCCGAATAGTGCTTTTTTGGCCCTGAAAATTTCGATAAATTTTTGGTGGTATTCTTTCTTTTTTCTTCCCTATCAATACAATTTTCTGAATTTTTTCCTGAAACTTTTGACTTTTTTTCAGTCATGGTAATTGTTCGACCTTTATTACCGGAATAACGCACATGTTCTGCTAATTGACGCGATCGCAACGTAAATTCCTTTAGTCCGCGACCCGCGTGTTTCACTATGGAACGCCGTTAGTGTCAAAACCCTTTTCTTGCGCGCGCGGAATTTTTTTTGGCGCGCGGAATATTTTTCCGGCGCGCGGAATTTTTTTTCAGCGCGCGGAAAGAAAAAACCCGTTTTCGATGAAAATCTCTGAATTTCCGGATTCCGCGCCGGTTTTCGATATATTTGCGCCGTTTGTGTCAAAACTATTTTTGTCGGCGCGCCGCTTCAAATCTGTTCCGCGCGCGGAATTTTCGATATATCGATTCCTGCTCGCCGTTTGTGTCAAAACTATTTTTTCCGGCGCGACGCTCCAAATCTGTTCCGCGCGCAGAATTTTCGATATATCGATTCCTGCTCGCCGATCGTGTCAAAACTGTTTTTTCCGGCGCTGCACCAGAAAATAATTCCGCGCGCCACTTTTCCGATATATCGATTTTTCTGCGCGCGGAGAATACATATTCTCCGCGCGGCGCGGAACAGATTTGGAGCGTCGCGCCGGAAAAAATAGTTTTGACACAAACGGCGAGCAGGAATCGATATATCGAAAATTCCGCGCGCGGAACAGATTTGAAGCGGCGCGCCGACAAAAATAGTTTTGACACAAACGGCGCAAATATATCGAAAACCGGCGCGGAATCCGGAAATTCAGAGATTTTCATCGAAAACTGGTTTTTTCTTTCCGCGCGCCGGAAAAATATTCCGCGCGCCAGAAAAAATTCCGCGCGCGCAAGAAAAGGGTTTTGACACTAACGGCGTTCCATAGTTTCACTTTCATAGATGCAGGTGGAAATTCAAGGCCCGAATTTTGTTAGCTACGACCGATCGTGAGTCGAGTAAACTTAACCTCAAAAATCGCGACATTTTTCGCGCGAAAAAAGCACTATCCGGATCCGGTACTATCCGGATCCGGCCGGATACTTTTTTGAATTATCCGGTATCCGGATCCGGCCGGATACAAAAAACCGATATCCGGATCCGGTTCCGGTGACGCGAAAATTCCATTTCGGCCCAACTCTACTGAAAACATTTCTTTATGCATGAAACAAAGTCTTCAGGAAGGGTAAGGCTGGTGAAACGATTGAATTGAACCAAAAGTGGTCAATGCTGAGTCATATACCTAATAAAATTGAACAAGAATCTAAACCGTTCGTAACTTCTACAAAAAAAAAAGGAAAAATTATAAAATCAGTTAAAAACTCAACAATTCCTGCAAGACAATCCCGATACGTGTTATTTGAGTGTCAGCTTCAGCCCATGGCCGGTGCGCAAGCAGTAACAGGCATTCTTAAGGGCTTCATAATTCGAAAAAAGCGTTTGCCTTAAGAATGGCGGATGTCAGCAACCGCTTCTGTTACATATAAGTCCTCATACGAAGGTCCCGGCATCCTCATATGAGCATTACTTTTGAATCAAAACTGTCAAAACTCAATTATCTAGAATGATTCATATTAATTGATTTGAGGAAAGAACAATTACTCTTTTTTGTGTGAGATTCGTTGTTTCGTCACAAATTTTGAAGTGACACACGCTGTTTTTATTTATAAACCATAAATGAGGTTCGCAGAGTGTCCTCATTTTGAAGACTAGAATAGGTGAAGGAGAAACTCTCCTGAATGCACCACTTTACTTTTTTACTTTGCATCCTTTAAAAGGCTCTTTTTTAAGGAACTTTATCTTTGAACCTTCCTCAAATCGTCACACGGTGTGTTTGGTGTGTAAATTGTGCATATTATCACTTAAAAGGAAGGACTGATTGTTAAATATTCTTAAAACTCAGCGATATTTGGTGATGAATAGTTTTGGCCAGCTTTTCCGGTCAAATACCACAGTGTGCGCCAGTCCCTTGACGATAACTCTTAGAGAAGCCAGTCCGCCCCTGGTAGTATTGTGGGTCAAGGCAGTTCCCTGTCAGCACTGAAATCTGGGTTTAATTCCTGGTTTGGTCCCCCAAGAGTACGTTCAAATAGTGAAAGTAAATTCGAACTACACTGATCAGTTTTTATACTGTAAGGGCCTTGAGCAGGGGGAGCTTTAATCATTTCCACACGGTAGCTTGAATAAAAATGAATATTTTGAGCTGAAATTTTAGTGGTAAAATAGAGATCTACCAAGAATGATTTAAAATTGACTCTCAGCAAAATCAGTGAAAGAGTTTTGGAATGGCTTTCATTTATAATGGGATAGGCAAAAGGAACGCTCAATATGCCCTAACTTTGTCTATTTTTGAGTCAACATATGTTCCGGTTTGGACTGTTGTTTTAATCATCAACGAGGAAAAAATTTGGGATTTTAAGAAGAAAAATTTAGTTTCGACCCTGCAACCCTTCAAGAGGGGCCAGAGAGAGAGAGAGCGAGAGAGAGAGAGAGAGAGAGAGAGAGAGAGAGAGAGAGAGGCATTGTAACACACAAATCTAGCGTTTCTTTTGCCAATTCCAACAGTTTCTTTCATGAGTGCAAGGGAGAGAGTGTCCTGAAACTATTTTTCACTCATACAACCATCCTTTATTAAGTTCTGATGCAACCTTTATCACGAAAAATTGTGAAACTACACCAAAAAAAATCAGTGCAATCTCATATCTTTCATTTTCCAGCATGAAAATATTTCCCTCTTCAAAAAAAAAAAGAAGATGCACCCATAATGCAATCATGAAATTTCTTAATTCAAGACTATCTTTGAAATATCTATTTTGAATGCAGGAATCCAAAAAATTGCCTTCCCGACTCGCTGACACCCCCTTAAATGAACTGATTTTTGTTGATAGCTTTTTTATTCATTCAAATTCTCAATGTTTTCAATATTTACTGATTGTCAAATCAAAGTTGAAAGGGAAAAATTTCTTATAACTCAAAATCTCTCATCATGTTTTTGAAGCTCTGACTCTGTTTTTTGAAAGGCATCGTCTCCTTTTACCATTTTTTTTGTACTATATCAATTTTATTCAGCTTGGTTTATTGAATGTAAAGTAATGTAGTTGAATGTTGTATGTTTTAGAGCCACAGAATGAAGTGTGTAAATTGAAGGTAATTTATCAGCTTTCTTTGATTTTTAGGAAGTCCTTTCTTATGCAACGTGATTGAAGCAGCCAAAATCATCATGCTAGGCGAAGACAAAGTGAGTGTCGATAAACCAACTGTATTTGCTGTAGAATGTGAACAGTCTGCTGGTATCCCTCAAATTCAAGTTTTAAGTCCATCGAGAGTTGCATTACCAGTCAGTATTTCACCTGCCGAGTCTGCTGGCAGGTTTAACGTCAGTTTTACTTGTAACCAAGTTGGTAAGCAGCTCATCAGAATTTTTTCCCCCCCATGCGAGTATAAAAATAATTAGAGTTGAGGTATGACTGAGTTTTATCGTAATTTATCTCTCTCTCTCTACCTCTCTCTCTTTCTCTCTCTCCTTTTTGTGAAAGGATTCTAAAAGGAGGTGTTGAATTACGGCAAATGTAATGTATGCAACGGAGACTAAAATAGATAGTGAAAATAAAGTTCAGTCTTACACACTATTGTTCGTTTCTTGTGTATATTTTGTTTTTTCTTTCAATTGTAATTTTTCAACAAATACCAATCGTGGTCAACTGCTATTATATCTTCCTTTTCTCTTTTCCTCAAGCCATCAGGTGGAGCCATCTACATCCTAAAGTTGATTTTGAGGGGGGAAAAATTGCTATCTTATTATATTAATTGTAAATATCCTGAGATTTTATAAAGATTTTGCAGCCTGCGATTTTGTTGCAATTAACTTGCAATTTTTCTGCCGAAAAATACTACTCGGGAGGGTTAAGATGGTTCCTCGGAGACCTTGCGCAAGGTTTGCAGGGTATGCATTGATATTTTGATTCGTTTATTTTTTGGAAAAACGAAACTTCAGTCCAAAGATACGTTTAGATACATCGCTTCTACAGCGCACTCTGGCGCCCTGCAATACAAATGCTTTGTGTGCCTATCTTCCCAAACGTTGCTAGGCAACTGAAAACACAACATCTCTCCTGCTTTCATCCCTTTGTGGGATGCCCCCAAGAAGATTACTAAAAGATAACAGTCCGAAAATTACTTCCAAACAATTAAGGATTATGAAATAATCGGAAACCTTAAAATGAACATCATGCATTGCCCTATTCCTGAGAAACCACTGTAATACTATTCTATGGCAGGGGGGCAAAGTTGCAATTTTTTCAATACTTTAAAAATCGATATCTCGCGAACGGTTTGAGTGTAAGTGTTGCGGTTTGCGCTAAAAAACGTTCAAAAATATTCTCTACAAGAATATTAATGCTGTTTGCACTGCTGCGTAATTTATGGTACTCATAAATCGATTTTTTCGATCTTGAAGGTTCTACTTTTTTTCGTTTTTCGTCTCTCTTCTCCAGGCGATCGTTGCTACGTGAATAAAAACCTGTTGAGGCGATTTTCCATGAAATTCTGCATCTACCACACTTTGTTTGACTTTGGGGAAACGATTCGTTCTTGAGTTAAAGCGATTTTTCTGCGCGTTCCCGGTTACGCGCGGGCGGTATATCGGCGGCGCTCCATCCCGCGCGGGCTAGGCAGAGGTTGTTTCACCGCTAGGGCCTTATATTCATGCTGTAGGCTGCAATTATCGATATTTTCTCCTCTCCCCGCCCTTCCCCTCCAATAAATATTTTTTTATACTTCGTTATACAGGGTGTCCCAGACCACCCTTGGGGGGTAAAGAGGGGGTCACGATCCCAAAAGTTGGGAGACATTGTGCCTCCCCCTTTAACCCCCCAAGGGAGGCTATGGGGGCTTCAGGACCATGAAAATCGGATTCCTTGGGGTCGATTACCTATCTATTTACCTATCTTTTTCCGGAGAATCCACGTCAATTTTTGACCAAAGGGACATTATGGAGGGGGCCGCTGTCTCCGCCTTTAAAAGATCATTTTTGGGCGTTAAGTGGTCCGATTTTGGATTCTTAGGGGTCAATTTCACGTTACATTTTTCGTTCTTTCAATTTTAATGCAATCAAATCGCAATTTTATCGCGGACCCCGACTTTTGGGGTCGTGACCCCCTCTTTACCCCCCAAGGGGGCCATGGGGGCTTCCCGGACCATGAAATTCGGATTCCTTGGGGTCAATTCCCTATTCAACCCCGCGGTCCCCCACTTCGTACTACTTAAACCAACCGAGAAAAAGACCTGGTACAGGTGGTCTGGGACACCCTGTATAACGAAGTATAAAAAAATATTTATTGGAGGGGAAGGGTGGGGAGAGGAGGAAATATTGATAATTGCAGCCTACAGCATGAATATAAGGCCCTAGCGGTGAAACAACCTCTGCCTAGCCCGCGCGGAATGGAGCGCCGCCGATATACCGCCCGCGCATAACCGGGAACGCGCAGAAAAATCGCTTTAACTCAAGAACGAATCGTTTCCCCAAAGTCAAACAAAGTGTGGTAGATGCAGAATTTCATGGAAAATCGCCTCAACAGGTTTTTATTCACGTAGCAACGATCGCCTGAAGAAGAGAGACGAAAAACGAAAAAAAAATTTGAAGGTATTGGGAACACTCTACAGGGCCGAGTAAAATCCAGAATTTCAAACTCGTTTTTTTTTTCGAAGTATTAAAAACTGCACTTACCTATGCGCCTTGTCTTCCAAGCCCCTCACTAAGGAGGTTGAGTATTTTTTAAGTCATATCAACTAAGGGCCTTTTCTTACAGAAAGTCTCATGATAAATCTATTTGATCATTCGATAATAATCTGTTACTAACAACACTTTTTTCTGTTCATAATCAGGGGACCATAGTGTTGAAGTAAAATTGAATGGAAGTGTTGTGGAAGGAAGTCCCTTTTTAGTTAAGGCGTATGATGCTTCAAAAGTAAGGGTAACTGACATTAACTCTGGTACTGTTGGAAAACCTGTGTACTTCAATAGTAAGTTTGTATTCGCTATTATTTTTAACCCAATTTAATTTTTTCCCCCTACTTGGATCAGCTATTTTAATTTTTCAAACTTTGTAACACTATCCTGTAAACACCATCGTAAACACTACTCCTACCAGTAAAACTAATTTTTCAAACACTAGTCAATCAAACTACTCAAACTACTACTTCAAAACTACTTTTCTGAAACACTTAAAAAACTGTTAAAATGCTTCACTGGAGTTGGCCTCGGCGGCACGTCAGCAGCTGCCGTGATAACAAAGAAAGGATTAAGTGCATTTTTGTATGAGCCGTAGTTGGCATATGCTTTTATGTGTCTCGATGTTCATCTCAGCATGCATTCGCTATCACGGCATTTAAGTTGAGTTCATATTTGTTTTTATACAGTAAATCAATCAATCATTCAAAATGTAGTTCCTACTTTGGCTTCTATAGCCGTAATGGGTCCTCTAGAGCAATTTTCCACCTTGTACAATGGTTATTATTTTTTTTTTTTATTCTTAAAATTTGAAGTGGGATAATGGCGGCCTCTCAAGAGCCACCTTATGTTCACCCACTGTTGATCAAACACGGACGTATATCAAAGACGCTCATTAGCTACAAAGTTGCGGCAGGATTTAAGTCTCTAATTTGAGTTGTCCGAGAGTAGAAAAGCTAATTTGAGCTTTCTGTTAAATAAAATAATACGGTTTTGCCAGGAAAATGTTCTCAAGGGTTTCCCCTGAAAAGTCGATCCGGTTTTTCGGTGAATGACCATCAGGGATTATGAGTGTAACGGTTCAAACAGGAAAAAACGGATTCGACAAAAAACAATTTGGGCCGCTCATTGAATAGCATTGGTCAATCAGTGTGCTGTACTATGGTACATCCGAGTGATTTCAAAAAGCGAGCCCTGAAAATCGATCGAACAGGAGCCGATATGGCATTTTAGGCCACGGCCGCCATCTTGAATTTTAAAATTTTGAAAATTCGACCGAAAATTCGAGTTTCCCGTCGAAAAATACCATCTGATACCGAGTTTCATGAATATCGATCGAACAGGAGCCGATTTGGCATTTTAGGCCACGGCCACCATCTTGGGTTTTGAAATTTTGGAAGTCCGACCAAAATTCGAGTTTCCCGTCAAAAAGTACCCCCGATTAGCAATTTTCACTCAATCCGTCGAAAAATACCCCCTAAAACCTGAAAATTCGTCTATAATACCGTGACCACGGTGCGTTTTAAACAATTTTAATGCGGTCAACATACCACCCGCGATTTTTTTGCGGAAATGTCAACTAGAAGGCCTACTGATTGAGGAACTACAAACCGCGAAATCTGTGATGGGGCCGTTTTTGAGAAAATGCGATTTTTCGCTTTTTTGGCGGGAATTTCGGGTCAAGGCGCTGAAAAAGTCAAGTTAGGCTGTTTTTGTAGTTCGTAAATGCATATCCCATACATTTTGAGTCAATCAAGTGCCAGTAGATAGCTATTCGTGCATATTGCCCAAAATTCATATCCTTAAATCCACAACTTTTGGGTTTTTGGGGGGTTAGTCAAGGAGAAATCCGAAAAAAAGAGGTTTAACCCGGAACAAATTGCTTAACAAACTTTTCCTACGTAAACTTCTTCAGTAGGTCCTATTGAACAACATACCAAAAGTTTACCACGGTTCGCTCCCGGAACACCCCCCCAAATTGCCTAAATTTCAAAATGGCGGCCATAATAAGGCCTCTGGGAGTTCGATTTTTTAAAAAATACGCATACAGTGTCATGTGAGGTGTCAATTCCTATGTAATTTAGGTCGTAGATTTCAAATATGAAGTAAAAAAAGTCCCTTGATCAAAAGAGGGTACCCCAAATCCAAGATAGCAGCCAATTTTGAAAGTCAAGAGGGTGGATTTTTAAAAAGTTCGCGTGACAAGGCAAGTGAGGTATCATTTCTTACGTAATTTTGGTCGTAGATTTCATTTATGAGGTCATAAAAGCCCTCAAGTCAAAGGGATTGCTCCAAATGCAAAGATGGCGGCCAGCTTCTAAAGGCAGGAGGGTGAATTTTTGAAATGTTTATGTGACATCCCTAGTAAAATAGAATCAACCTGACGTTTCATAAACTACCCTGAGTCAGACTAATTCAGGCTGATATCAATTTGACTCAGGGTAGTTTATGAAACATACCCTGACGTCAGGTTGATTCTATTTTACTAGGGATTTCACGTAAACATTTCAAAAATTCACCCTCCTGCCTTTAGAAGCTGGCCGCCATCTTTGCATTTGGAGCAATCCCTTTGACTTGAGGGCTTTTATGACCTCATAAATGAAATCTACGACCAAAATTACGTAAGAAATGATACCTCACTTGCCTTGTCACGCGAACTTTTTAAAAATCCACCCTCTTGACTTTCAAAATTGGCTGCTATCTTGGATTTGGGGTACCCCCTTTTGATCAAGGGACTTTTTTTACTTCATATTTGAAATCTACGACCTAAATTACATAGGAATTGACACCTCACATGACACTGTATGCGTATTTTTTAAAAAATCGAACTCCCAGAGGCCTTATTATGGCCGCCATTTTGAAATTTAGGCAATTTGGGGGGGTGTTCCGGGAGCGAACCGTGGTAAACTTTTGGTATGTTGTTCAATAGGACCTACTGAAGAAGTTTACGTAGGAAAAGTTTGTTAAGCAATTTGTTCCGGGTTAAACCTCTTTTTTTCGGATTTCTCCTTGACTAACCCCCCAAAAACCCAAAAGTCGTGGATTTAAGGATATGAATTTTGGGCAATATGCACGAATAGCTATCTACTGGCACTTGATTGACTCAAAATGTATAGGATATGCATTTACGAACTACAAAAACAGCCTAACTTGACTTTTTCAGCGCCTTGACCCGAAATTCCCGCCAAAAAAGCGAAAAATCGCATTTTCTCAGAAACGGCCCCATCACAGATTTCGCGGTTTGTTGTTCCTCAATCAGTAGGCCTTCTAGTTGACATTTCCGCAAAAAAATCGCGGGTGGTATGTTGACCGCATTAAAATTGTTTATAACGCCCTGTGTGACGTCAAGCGACAGGATTGAACCTGTTCGGCGCGGTGTCTGTGAACAACCTCGTATCCCTAATGCATTAGTATAGGGAGAAACAACTTTTCTTTATTTAAAGCTTCAGCAGCATTTCTTTCAAAATTTGATTTTTCAGACATGTAAAAGTGGTTCTCAGCCTCAAGGCTTATACGTTAGGAAATATATTGCAATCAAGGATAAGATCCTAGACATGAAACCAAAATATAGGGGAAGTAGAAATGCTACTCACTAACGTGCACCTTGAGGCTTGAAATTCCAGGATACAGGTGAGAGGAGAGAATGAGTGAAGCTGGGCGAGATGTGACTCACTAACGTGCACCTCAGCCTAGAGGGAGAGTAAAGATGAAAATGAGTGGACAGAGAGCTGGACGAAATGCTTCTCACTAATGTGCACCTCGATTCTAGAGCGATTGTTCCTACAGACGTTTATAGTAGTTCAGAATTGTTTACAATTTTTCACTTTGGGTAAATCTATGGAAAACCCTGATTTCGCAGTCCTTCGAGAGAGAAAAAGGAGAGAAACAATTTTCCATTTCTCCTCATTATTCAAATAGCTGATGTACCGTCACCGGGCGTTGCGGCGCGGTATAGCCGGGTCGGCCGCGGTGTCGCCTAGCCGTGACACATTTGTTGCTATTTTTGGTCTATGAAAGAAGGAGAAAAACTTAAAACAAAGAATGAAATTCTTCGTTACACCCCCTATCTGGGTTGAGGACGAAGGGTTGTCAAAGCCAATAATTGTGAAAACCTTTAAAGAATGCCTGATGGTAATTCAAATCGAACACAATTTTCTGCATTCAAGTCAACATTTGAAGTTGTACAGTAATACTCGTAAAATCTGCAATACTAACAAGGGGAACTTCCCAAGCTGCCGCCTCCGATCGGGCTGAAAAAATTCATACGAACTCTCTGGATGAATTTATTTGACCCGTATTTTTTTGTTTTTTCCAATGCCCCCCAGAAACACCCCAAAAAAATTCCGGAAAGTTTTGCTTTGAGCGCTTGAGTCTATATACGCAGTGTAGCAGCTTCTTCTTGCCGTCAAGTGGTGGCTCTGTGGTAGCGCGCTCGCCCAGTGATCCGGCGGGCCCAGGTTCGATTCCCGGGCGCCGCGCCAAATTTTTACGACCGAATTTTATTTTCTCACACATTTTCACATCGATTCCCATTTGATACATTAGATCTTAAAACATCAATTAATTTACAACCATCAACGATCAATAACTTCTTAAATTTGAAGTATAGATTTTTTTTTGGGAGGGGGGGAGGGGTCACGCGCGCGATATTCTCGCTAATCACTGTACTTTCACATTAGCAGACGACCCGCTCCGCCCCCTCACATCGACATATTTCTCCCGATCACCCGTATGAGTCATGATTTTTCCCATCATTATCCAGAAAATGATAATGAAAAATTACTTCGAACATTCAAATTAAAAATGCTACAATTTTTCATTATCATTTTCTGGATAATGATGGGAAAAATCATGACTCATACGGGTGATCGGGAGAAATATGTCGATGTGAGGGGGCGGAGCGGGTCGTCTGCTAATGTGAAAGTACAGTGATTGGCGAGAATATCGCGCGCGTGACCCCTCCCCCCCTCCCAAAAAAAAATCTATACTTCAAATTTAAGAAGTTATTGATCGTTGATGGTTGTAAATTAATTGATGTTTTAAGATCTAATGTATCAAATGGGAATCGATGTGAAAATGTGTGAGAATATAAAATTCGGTCGTAAAAATTTGGCGCGGCGCCCGGGAATCGAACCCGGGCCCGCCGGATCACTGGGCGAGCGTGCTACCACAGAGCCACCACTCGACGGTAAGAAGATGCCGCTATACTGCGTATATAGACTCAAGCACTCAAAGCAAAACTTTCCGGAATTTTTTTGGGGTGTTTCTGGGGGGCATTGGAAAAAACAAAAAAATACGGGTCAAATAAATTCATCCAAAGAGTTCGTACGAATTTTTTCAGCCCGATCGGAGGCGGCAGCTTGGGAAGTTCCCCTTGTAAGGTCATAATTAGCTATGGTGCAAGAATTATGGTTTGGTGTTTCGTTTATGGCCATTTCAGGTAAGGAATCAATTAACAGTAAGGTTATCTTTACCATCTTTTATATGTTAACATAGTTTACCTTTTTTGCACCATAGGTGATCATCACTTTCTTTTTAACCAGTCATAGTGGTGTCACTTTTGCATGATTACAGTCAATTCAACTGTTTTTTTTATTTTTTTTATTTTTTTTTATTTTTTTTATTTTTTTTTATTTTTTTTATTTTTTTTAATGTTGAAAAGTGAAAAAGCTCAGGTAGTAAGTTAATTAAAATAAATAAAGCAAACTTTCATAAACTTTAATAATAAATTCTTTATTATCTCTTCTTGTAGTTAATGCTAGCCAAGCTGGTGCTGGAAACCTAGAAATAATTGTATCAGTAAATGGATGTAATGTGCCGAATTATGTACAGTCTGAGGGGAATGCTAAATTCCGTGTCAATTTCAAACCCAAGGAGGCCGCTCCTCATAACTTGAGCGTTAGATTCAATGGGGAGCCAATTCCAGGTGAGTGATTTAACTTTTGCCTTTTCATAAATTCAAAAATTCTGATTTAAAGCTTCTCCTATTATCAAATTTCTCTCACAAAATTTAAGTAGAATCCCTATTTTTTTTCCTATATTTTATTTTACAACTTTCAATATGCCTGTAATCAAGAATTTAGCTTTCATTTTTTTTTTCACAGGTATTGTAGAAAAACATTTTTTAAAGGGTGGTCGTAACTGGGACATCCACCTAAATTTTAATTTTGTTCTGTTTTTTCCTAAGGCTGTATTATTTTTTAGGATCCCCTTTCATTTGCCGTGTTATGGAAGCTGGTCAGTTAAGAGTGTCTGGTGAGGGCATCAAAATGTGTCCTGCTTTCCAATCAGCCCATATCTCCATTGATTGTCATGGAATGACTTCAAATTGTCAAGTCATCGTTACATCACCGTCAAACAAAAAGCTTGATGTTGAGCTACACAAGCAAGAAAATAAATTGATAGCAACGTACGTCCCATCTGAAGTTGGTAAGATAGTTCATAGATTTGCATGTGCAAAACTTATCAGTAGTCCAATCAAAAGAGGTATATGCATCTCCCGTAAGAATTGGGCCCAGAACGGAATATTGTCATACCTTCACCTTTTGTAAAGGAAGGTTAGAGAAGTTACAAAATGGCAGACTTTTTGGTCGAGGCCCTGGGGGGGGGGGGGTCATAGAAATATCAACTTTTAGCCATAACTTTTGAATCGTTGGAGATATTGAGTTAACTTTTTTCAAATGAAAAACATAAGAAGACCTTTCTATCGAGTTTAAGAAATTGACGATTGGTTAATTTTTGGCTAAGTTATGGCTCATCAAAGTTTTTGGAAAATTTTAATTTTGGATTTTTCCATTTTTAGACGGGAGAGGTTGCACGAAATGTTACCAATATGTGTGCGAAAGATAGCCCTTGTTTTTTTTCTTTAAAATGAGCTGAAGAACATGTTGGGGAAATGATTAATTACGGGGTTATGCTTTTTCAAAGTTGACGCCACAGGGTACGTACATGGGTCTTGGGCCAGAGTCCCGCAGCTGCGCCCGGGAGCACCCTGTTTCATATTGATCTCCATAATTTTTTAACATTTTTCAGCATTTTGACGATTCAGTAAGCATACATATGAACATGAATATGCCATACGTAATTTCCCTTCCCCCTTTTTTTATTTCATCTAATCCAATGCGGAATTTGGAAACGTCGCACCGGCAATTGGCACAGAGGTGGATCCAGAGTGAGGTGGAGGAGGGGGGGGAGGCATTTGTTGATGTCGAGTGGGAGGTCTGGAGGGTTACTTCTTGACCAAGGGGGGTCTCTTCTGGAAAATTTTCAAAAAAAATAGCCCCTCCCATATTGAATATTAGGCAGTTTTAGCATAGAATCCATGTATTATTCGAAAGATGAAAGTTGACGAATAGGTAATACCTCTTTTAAAGGAATTTCATTTTGGTATATGGCCTATCTATTTCTGCGGTGTTGAGTAACCTTTGGTTTAGTAAACTTTGTTAAATAGTTCTAAAGATCTGCCTTGACACCATTTCAGTAAATTTTTAGGAGCACTTTAGAGAAAGTGCTCCTCTCTCTCATCTTGCCCTTTTCCTCCTTTTTTTATTTCTTTCCCCTTTTTTTTGGCCGGAGGGGGAGGGGGGTGGGTTGCTACCATACCCCCCCTGCATTCGCCGCTAGATTGGAGTGCTTGTTACTTTTGTCATAAGCGGTTTCTGTGTTTTTGTAGTATGCATATGATCACTATGTAAGGACAAAAAAGAACTCTGAGCATTGATTTTGGGTCCCGCACCAAAATACAATGATCAGTAGAAGACAATCATGACAGTGAAGTATAAAATTAATGTCAAATCCCCTCATTTCGTAAAAGCTCCCATTCCTTCGAGACATGTCTTCAGACTTTAGATAAAATAAAAAGAGGGGGAAGGGAAATTACGTATGGCATATTCATCTTTATATGTATGCTTGCTAAATCGTCAAAATGCTGTAAAATGTTAAAAAATTACGGAGATCAACGTGAAACAGCGCGCAACCTACGCAAACCTGTTTTCTTGGCGTTAAGTTTGTAGGTGACTGGTGGTGATATTGTATCGGTGAGATTAAGTTTGAGTCTGAGTCTCTGAAAACCCCACTCGCAAGATTGCTCAGACTTTTTGTCATATCAATAAAGCACTGAAATCACCCTATTTAAATTTGAAAAACCATTAGAAAATGTAAAAAATGAGAGAGATAACAGTTGTTTGAAAAAATTGAAGGTATGATCACTTTTGAGCACATGTGAATCACTTTTGAGCACACTTTTTTTTTTGTTCTAAGAACTATTTCATTTTTCCGGAATTCAGCAATCAAGTAGATTGGCTGTTGTGGTATGAGTAGTTCTTCAAACAATAACATCTCTCCTGAATACGTGGCTCATCTTGCAACGTTGCCAGGTTTTGGTATTAACTGTGGATATTTTACATGGGTTTTAATGGAGGTAAGTGCTGATTTTTCAGAATCATCTGGCAATGGTGTCATCTAGCCGATCAGTTGCTGATGGGCAAATAAATGACCCTGAGTCACTCTAGCCTAATACCTATCGATCAGCTCTATTTTCACTTTTAAATGCAGGGTCTAAATATTACAATATTCTGTTAAAATTTGCCGCCTCGTATGATGCAATAGATGAAAGTTCAAAATTTGAATAAAAATGAATTGGACATATTCATGCTAAAAGGAACTATAAACAAGTGGAAAGATGGAGTGTGCTCGTGGTGAGCTGGATAAGAAACAATGTAAAAGTGGATATAGTTCCTTTTGAGAAAATGGAAAAGCAGGATTTTTAATTAAATCAAAAGGGACTAAGCGCTAACTCATGAGCGGTGGGCATGTGACAAGAGCCAGGGCTCATGGACAGGGCTCACGAGTTTAAGCCCTCGACCACGATCTCCTCAAGTCCTCGGTCCCTGTCTTTGACGCTGACATCACTAGCGCTTTAAAATCCCCATTCATTCTTATGGCCCTCAACTAACAAGCCTACCCCATCTTTCCACTTGCACATAGTTCCATTTCGTATAAATATGTCCAATCTGAAAAAGGAAAGCAGAATTTTATACATAGCTTAATGTTTGGCATGAATGATATCACAAATGGTCAAGTCTCTATTTTTCACTTTCACACTCAAAGGAATCTCTTACAAATAAATTTTTCTTTTCAGGACGACATAGTGTTCATGTGAATGCAGATGGACAACCTGTTAAGGGCAGCCCTTTTGTTTGTAATGTTTACAATGTTGAAAACATAAAAGTGACAGGTCTTGGAACTGCAAAGGTGAGAATTAAATGCACAATTTCTACTAGTGTAGGGGTGCACATTATTCTAGATCACACAAAAAATTTTTGCGCGAAGTTTTGGAAGCCCATGCTGATTTTACGGAGGCGCGATCAAGCAAAAATTTCTCATGAAAATGTTGAAGTCTTCCAGATTTTGTGGAAGCCCTTCTTTTTTTTTACCCAGACATTTCAAGAAGTTTCCATAATTCTCACCAAAATATCGAGAACAGTCTCTACAATTTTTGTTGAATGGACCACTAGACAAGGTACGAATTTCTGCATTCTGATACATGTTTTTTGACCAAAATTTCACGTAAAATACGACGCGCACAGCGAAAATTACAGAAATCAACTCCTTCCAAAGATATTTAATGATTCTCGATGCGTGAATTCAAACCACCCGCTCATGAAAACTCAATGCTCTGCGTGATTCACATCGTGCGCTGAACGTTATCATGACAGTCTCTGCGATATAAAAATCTGGCAACCTCAATCTTGACGCTTTGGTTCAGCTGTAGCAAATTGATATTAGTTTGAACAACGCGTGGTGGGAAATGAAATAGTTACTCGATTGAGACTTGTTGAAACCGTTGTAGTGCGCGATTTGACTCACGTAGACCTTTGAGTTTCTTGTCAGCGGGCAGTTCAAATTCCTCGTAACCAATGTGAAATAAAAACGTTAATATCTTCGTTTGGAGTTTGTTTCATTAGTTTTCATTGCGCGAATCGTACTCTACGTGAAATTCTGGTTAAGAAACATGTATGAGAATGCTTAAATTCGTACCTTGTCTAGTGGTCCATTATTATGGGAGGATTTTGACCGAAATATTGTGGAAAGGTTTCCACAATTTTGATCAAAATATCGTGGAAGTGTTTCCTCAATTAGCACCAAAGTATCATGATAGGGTGTCCACATTTTCAACCGAAATATGTACTGTGGAAGGGTTTCTAGAATTTTTCGGTAAAAATTGAGGAAGGCTGCCTCAGAGCTTTTTACTGAAGATTGTGGAAAGCCCTAATTATGGCATCATTTCCGTAACCCAAGAAAGAAATATTTTACTATGGAAAGAAAAACTTTTTCACAAGGGGAAAAACTTTTTTCACTGGGGAAGAAATTTTTTTTAGGAGAGGAAAGAAAATTTTTATGAGGGGAGAAACTTTTTCTACGAGGAGAATAACTTTTTTTTACTAGGAGAGAAATATTTTTCTTGGGCTAGAGAAAAAGTTTCTTTCTCCCACATGAGAGAAAAACATTTTCCCCCGGTCGAACAAAAATATTTCTCCCCCCGCAAGAAAAATGTTTCTCCACGCGCTACAAAAAGTATTTCTTTCCGAGCAGTGCTTCGCATAGTTGCCAAACCTAGCAGGCGGGGGTCGAGTTTAGAGAGCGCTGCCGCTCTCCGTGCTGCTACTGGCTGTCTCGTCATTTTGGGACGTCACGCGTAAGTTTTTCACGAGCAGCGGTTTGCGGATCTTCACTAGAGCAGGTCTCTGGAATTTTGCCGGAATAAGTTAGCGGAACTTTTCCGGAGCATGTTTTGAAAAATTTCGTCCTAATTTTCTACGAATAACGTTGAAAGATGAAAGACGAAATGGTCAATGGCGCTTCCTCTGCAGTCAGTAGCAATTCTCACTATAAATCCATTTTTAATGCATACATTTGGCCCAAATTTAAAACATAGGTACTGGTATTTAATGCAGATATGACAGGATATAATGGATATTTTAAAATGAAAAAAAGGTACTTGAACTTCAAAAATACAAATTTACATAAGAACACAGTTTATAGATTGAATTTGTGAGCAAAAAAATAAAATTTAAAATAAGGCCAAAAAATTTTCTCGGGATAAATGAACAATTATTATCGTATGCAATTTTTTATTTTATACCTTGAAAGCAGCATAATAGCCGCCGATTTAAAGATCCGCGGTGGTTTCATGGGTGTGCTTGGCAATTCAACGATTAACCGCCAGGCACAATGCACCTTAAACGTTCTTTAAGTCTATCCGTGATTTCTTCGCTTACATTATGCGTGTAACGAAGTTAAGTTTGCATGCGCTTATATTCAGTGGCTTGTAAAAGTTGAAGGTAGCAAGTACCCAAGTGCTACATTATTTGTTGAGATTAATACTCGAACATATGTAGTGGTGCCTTCATCCTCCCCGAAAACTTATGCATCCATACGAGTTCCTCTTTAATCTTACTTCATTGAACTCCCCTCACTGAGGGAGTTTGGAAGGTATGAAATACTCCCAGGTGAGGGGGTTGAGGGGGCTTCGCCTGGAAAATTTTGAAATTTCTTATGTTGTTTGGGGCAATTTGAGGCAATTCCTGCAGACTTTCATGTAAATTTTGAATATTTTCAGTTCATTTAACTTTCTGTTAAAAAATGAAATTAGCTTCGAGAGAGGTTCCACATTAAGACCACGCAATCCACGCAGGCACACTGAGTTATAAGGTGCAAATGGATACCTGCCTAATCTAGGCGATTATTATTGATTTTTGACATGCGGAATTTTTTGATCGAAGATCGAAGAAGAAACTCAGGAAAAAGACGAAATTCAAGGGGGAGGTCTAAATGTAGGAGAAATCCGGGGGGGGGGGGGGTGGCCATACTTCAGAAAAAAATCAGGGGGAGGTCTTAATCCCTAGAGGGAGAAGGTAAACCACAAGATATCTGCGATGGGTTTAACAAATTTTCCAAAAAGTAAAACGACAAGAATAAGAGGAAGAAGAAGCGCAAAAACACAGGACAATTTTTGAGGGGCGCGTGTTGTCTCTGGGCGCGTGCTGTTAATTTTCTTTTTCTTTTCACTTTTTAGGGTTAGAAATAAAAGACCGCGAACGATAAAACAACAAATGTTCCAGGAAAGTTCTGAAAAATGCAAAAGATCCGGCATAAGTTCCGGAAAATTACAAAAGTTCCGAAATTTGGGAAAAGTTCCGGGAAATGACAGCACTGATCGTTCACGTGTTTTGTTTTGGTTCGTTTATCATCGCGTTCCGCGGTGCGCGGTGTGTTCCACCTCCCGTTCCTCGTGTGGGAGCACTCCAGTTTCTTGTCGAGTATATCAGCTAGGTTTGGCAACTATGCGAAGCACTGCTCGGAAAGAAATACTTTCTGTAGCGCGTGGCGAAACAGTTTTCTTGCGCGGGGAGAAATATTTTTGTTCGACCGGGGGAAAATGTTTTTCTCTCATGTGGGAGAAAGAAACTTTTTCTCTAGCCCAAGAAAAATATTTCTCTCCTAGTAAAAAAGTAAAGTAAAACGACAAGAATAAGAGGAAGAAGAAGCGCAAAAACACAGGACAATTTTTGAGGGGCGCGTGTTGTCTCTGGGCGCGTGCTGTTAATTTTCTTTTTCTTTTCACTTTTTAGGGTTAGAAATAAAAGACCGCGAACGATAAAACAACAAATGTTCCAGGAAAGTTCTGAAAAATGCAAAAGATCCGGCATAAGTTCCGGAAAATTACAAAAGTTCCGAAATTTGGGAAAAGTTCCGGGAAATGACAGCACTGATCGTTCACGTGTTCTGTTTTTGTTTTGGTTCGTTTATCATCGCGTTCCGCGGTGCGCGGTGTGTTCCACCTCCCGTTCCTCGTGTGGGAGCACTCCAGTTTCTTGTCGAGTATATCAGCTAGGTTTGGCAACTATGCGAAGCACTGCTCGGAAAGAAATACTTTCTGTAGCGCGTGGCGAAACAGTTTTCTTGCGCGGGGAGAAATATTTTTGTTCGACCGGGGGAAAATATTTTTTTCTCATGCAGGAAAAAGAAACTTTTTCTCTCGCTCGAGAAAAATATTTCTCTCCCAGAAAAAAAAAGTTTTTCTCCTAGTAGAAAAAGTTTCTCCCCTCATGAAAATTTTCTTTCCTCTCGTAAAAAAAATTTCTCTCTCAGTGAAAAAAGTTTTTCCCCTTGTGAAAAAGTTTTTCTTTCCACAGGAAAATATTTCTTTCCTGGGTTACGGAAATGATGCCATACCTGATTCCTCACAGACGATTGCGGAAGACTTGTCATAATAATTTTTGACTGAAGAATTATAGAAGGCTCTTTACAATTTTCCTCACAAAAGATGGCAGGTTTCCCAAAATTTTCAAATTTTGGTCATTTCCAGATAAGTCTTAATTTTTGTGAATTAATTTCTTGTCTACTGTTATGGGAGTAATAGGAAAGTGTGTATCATTGAATCCACTTCGCCACGTTTTTGCAAGAACGTATTATTATTTCCGTAGGGGTCATTCATAAATTATGGCGCACACTAGGGGGGGGGGGGGTTGGGGGTTCAGGAGAACGTTACGCAATTTTGGTTTACGTTTGAAAGAATGTTTTATTTGACCAAAAAAAAAAAAAAAAAAAAAATTATTGCTTTTTGAGGAAGGGGTAAAATTTTTTGCGTGCAATTGTGGAAAGATAGATGCATGTGCACCCCTGCGTGTGTTACCTTTGTCATCTCTCATTGTGATATACAGCTATTGAGAAAAAGTAGAGTGTCCTACCAAGACTATTCATTACCAAGAGTTCTGTCATTCAAGTGCTAATCACACCCTAAATTTCTATGACTGGATGATTGGACCACAGGACTGAGCGAGTGAAGGGAAAATAATTTTGCCATTACAAGAGCTCTGACTTCAGATTCTGCATTGAAAGCAACAGAAAATTATTGAATTTTGTATTTATTAGAGTCTTGTCATGAAATTAAAAATAAATCAAGAATGGGATGATAATCCAAAGCCAAAAGTAGTAGAAAGAAAAGAACTATTTAATCGAATATTTAGTAATCAGAATAAAAATACATATATAAAGCCGCTTTCACAGCGCAGCCTTGCGCTCTGCGACGCCCAATCGTTGTTGCCTGCCCTCCTTTCAGAGATCAATAAGCAATTGGCACCTCTTGATCTCCTCCGCTCCTTTTTGCCAACCTTTCACAGGACGTCCAAGCCGTCGTCTTCCGGGAAGAGATATATAAATAATTTTAAAAAAACCAAAAACAAACATAAAAATTTCAAGTATAAAATAAATAAACATTTTTAGAAAATGAAAAACAATTTAAAATTGAAATGAAAGTATAAATGAAGATGTAACTGTTGATAAGAAAAGAGGGTAAATAGAATCATACAAAAAAACTGAAAAAAAAAACAAGAAAAACTTAGAAAAGAATGAGGATGAAAGAAAAAATGAATTGAACTTGCGGCACAAAGTTGTTGGTTTGTAAAGAATTTGAATTTTTTTTTTTTGCTTCATTAGGTCGGAAAACCGGTTACATTTAGCGTCAATGCAACTGAAGCTGGAGAGGGTACTCTAGAACTGATAATCAGCACACAGCAGAGCACGGTAAAGGCTGAGGTTGTCGCATGTGCAAGAGGACTGTATGATGTGACTTTTGTCCCTCATCAAGTACTCCCGCATTTTGTCAACATCAGTTTTAATGAACAAGAACTCCAAGGAAGCCCCTTCCGATGCGATGTTCATGAGGTTCCTAACAAGAAAGGTTGCACAGCCACTGCCAGGGGTGAAGGGCTCAACCAAGTTGTGTTGGGAAGATTTGCTTATTTTGAAGTGAACCCACACACACCGGATCATGGCTCAATCGATGTTCAAATCATAGGTGCGTTTCCTTCAGTCATGTCTAGCATTGTTCGATCTTATGAGCATAAGCCTCAAGTAAGGAGAAGAGAAGGTGCCCCTTAATTTTGCAACACTAAATAAAATGAAAAATAATTTCAGTTTTCAAAATTATTTAACTCGAAGAAGCTCTTGTATGTGTCACGGATTTGTAATAAAAACACGTTTTCTTCTGTAAAATTTTGTGAGAAACATGATGGTGCCACTAACTTACTCTGAAACAAACTCGCAATCTCAAAAGAGCTCTCAAACTTGAGGCTGTAATGGAGGAGATACTCCTTGGTAAGCTGAGAGTCCACCTCTATTTCCAGTCAAACTTTCTACGCATAGATAGGGAGCAAATACAATAGCAGGGTTGCCACTTAGTTTGGGGACTCCAAGGCTTGAAGCACAGACAGTTTGACCGGATGTAGAGGTGGACTCTTAGCAAAAAATGTGGGATTAAGGTGCAGCTTACTTGTGTGCTAAAAAAAGTTGGAAAAGTTCAGCTGCTGGGTCTCCAATAGGCGTCAATACTTGAAAAAAATTCCTGTAAAATTTCAAACTAATTGGACCATTTTTAGAATTTGTACCGACGAATTTTTGTTTACGAAAATACTGAGATGTCAATTTCAACCATTAACGACCCTATGATAAAAAAACACTTTTTTCTGCAAGAGAGCACTGGAGTTTTCCTGATTGCCTTGTTGACACACAGCTGCCTGTTCACTCGAGTGCTGAAATGAGGAATCTTTTTGACTCTTTAGCACCGAATAATTGAAACTTTCCGGGTGTGTTGTGCGAAAATGGTGCATCGTAGAAAGTTGGCGCTATGATGACTTTTGATCAGCATCCTGAGAGAAATTGAATGTAATGAAAAAATTAAAAATCGATCGTGGTGCACTTTCCCATAAGGAGTTTGTAGGGTCCTTTCCTTTGAACAGCTTTATTTTTAAAATAATTGCAATTATGCGGCCCCTTACTTTCCAAACAGCCACTTAAGTCGGAAAATCCAGTTTTTACTGTAAAAGGGTAAAAGGTTATGGTTAAAAGAAGATAAGATGCCTTCAGCACAGATCAGGATGTGCTTTTCACGTTTTCAAAACTGCGTACGTCCATAATTTTGAAAAATTATTTGTCAGAACGGCTGTAGACTGAGAGGGAAGGGAGAAGAGCATTTGAATCAAGTTTGTTTTCCATCTTTGTAGTTTTTTCCATTTGGCGCATCTCAGAATATGCGGCACTGTCTTAAAATTGGCTTCCTTGTATTTCTCGCATCAGTTTACAAAAGAAAAAGCACTTAAGTAGCATATCTCTGACTAATGCAAGAGCTTTATTGGAAAGAATCCTCCAAAAAATATCAGAATCAGCTGACCTCATTGCACAACCATATTTTTCTCTTTTTCTCACCTAGAAATTCCCTCATTAAATGAATCACCATTTCAGTATCTCTAAATGTTAATAACAGACCCCTTTCACCAGAAATTTTTCATCAGCTCATAATTAAATTGAAGGCTTCTTAGGACTTGAAAAATTATTTTTTCCTCTTCTTTTATTTTCGTACTCAACGAGGGTCATCCAAAAAGTAAGGTCTTTTATAGATTTTCTTGCAAACAGATAATCAAAAGAACTGCTGGAAAAAGAGCTATCTTATTGTTAGATTCAGTTTTCCTTTAGCTTTACTTTTAGTCCCTAATTTTCTAAAATTGGACCATTGGAACATTCAGGAGAGAAACTCTCCTGCACTGCTGTCATTGTTTAACCGCCAGACTCTAGTACTTCTGATTTGGTTTGAAAAAATACGACAACCCTGAGTTTGTGCATAGACAAAAAAGTTTATCACGAAGAATATAATACAGTTCAGCGTCACCTTTTGAACTATTATTATATTTAGCCTGCTAACACTGTTTATTAGGGCACTCTGCAACTCAGTGACCATTCAAACTCATCCTCCCACAGATCATCCGGCAAATGACACGTTTCCCTCCATTTCCTTTTCCAATCTTTTCTTCCATTTTCTGCTGCTCTGAAGGTCAATGCCCTCCACCTTATTCTGAGGCGGAGGCACCAGCTTGTGGATCCCTTCGTCTAAGATTTTCGCAGGTTGGTTATTGAACCAATTCATTTTGAAAATTTGAACCTCCTCATCAGTACTCATCCGTAATCTAGGAGGAAGGGATCGACAAGCTTTTGGCAAGGCTTCAAAAACGCATGGACTTTATCAATGATGACATTGTAAAGTAATGAGTCAGTTAAGTCATTTTTCTTACTGTGTCATTCGAAAGTAGTAAGCGACCGAAGCTTACAGTTTTTTTCCTAATTTTTTTTGATGACTGGAAACGGGAGAAAAGTTTATTTGAAAGTGCCCAAAATTAGGGTGGCTTAAAACAGCGTTTGAACCGCGTGCTCGTAGGTTCCGAATGTACACGTCACGATCAATATGGCGGCGGAATGCGTAGTGGAAGAATACACGGCCTGTTGCAAACTTTTGCTAGAGCAAAAATAAGAGTTGTTTCTTAGAGATAATGCCTCAAAAATCACGATGAGCGCATCGGCAAAGTCTGAAATGCACTCATAACTTCACAATCTGCGTAAGAAATTTGCGGTTTTTTGAGCTTCCCGCTTCAAAAACGATACTACGGCACAGGTGAACATTTTGTTAGAGGAGTCGTTTCATTGTCGGCAATACTCATCATGGTCGACGACAATCCGCCAAAACACCTGTGATGGGACGAGGTAACACCTGAACAGGATTAGACCAGATAACAATCGGCGTGTTTACGTTCATATTTTCCTCACCCGCCTTGATTGACCTTGAACTTTCCTCGAATTACGCGCGGAACTGCGCAAGCGTCGGCCATGATGAATATTGCCGACGATGGAGCGACTCTTCTAACAAAATGTTCACCTGTGCCGTAGTATCGTTTTTGAAGCGGGAAGCTCAAAAAAACGCAAATTTCTTAAGCAGATTGTGAAGTTATGAGTGCATTTCAGACTTTGCCGATGCGCTCATCGTGATTTTTGAGGCATTATCTATAGGAAATAACTCTTATTTTTGCTCTAGCAAAAGTTTGCAACAGGCCCCATTGTTCTTGATTCTCTAAGCTTTTCGACCAGAATGCGATACAGATTTATGTAGGATATTAAACATTTACACAGAACTTACTTAACCTCAAACGAGAAATCGTGATGTCAACAACGGCAGCGTGGCGGTAGTAAGCAGGCTGGCTTCGTCACTGCCATCTTTCCATCTATGGCGTGTAGATTCAAAGATTCACGACGGTCAGTTCAAACATGTTTTCGGGGACCCCTAAAAAGGAAGCGTCATATCTCCGCGGAGACAATTTTCCGTGACATTTTAACGTTCTTCTCGTTCCGAAAACTGTAAGTTTCGACGATTTGCAGGCAAATCCCTCCCGAGCTTAACTGACTCACTCTTAAAAGTGAAAGCAAAGTCTATCATTTTTCTTTACATGTAGTAAACAAATTCAGGGGGTTTTTATAATTTTCTTAAAGCAGGTTAACCATATTCAGATCCGGCGGTCAGAGCGATGACAGCCACAAAGGAATTTTGTCCTCCTGAGTGGTTTCAAAAGTGCAATTTTAGGAAATGAAACCTCATATTGAAGTTGAGAATATACTGAACTGAACAGCATCAATTTAATTTTTCCAGTATTGAAACTTTGGGAGAGAATCTACAAGAAACCATTCTTTCTGGGTAACCTGTGCACTTTTCTCTTGTCAGTGTTTGCTAATTTTTTTAATATTCTCTTTGCTTAGGACCAGACAATTCAAAAATTCCTGCTCAGATTGAAAAATTAGAGACTGGTCTGTATCAAGTCAAATATAAGCCACTTCTCGTTGGTATTCATATGATATCTATTTTTCAAAGGAAGCAGTCTATCACGAAACAGCCATGGAGTGTGCAGGTCTTTGATCCTATGCAAGTGAAACTTTTTGGTGTATCTGAATCTTTTTGCCATCGACCCGCAAGTTTAAAAAGTACACACTTTTTCTTCTTCTCTTACCAGCATTCAAATAATTTTTTTGTGCTTTCATGTCCAAGGAATTCAGAGTGCTGCAATAAATATGTCTAACTCATTTTTTAAGCCCCTCAAGGCTTTTTTAAAACAAAGAATCGATTTTCAAATATTGCTGTTTGGGGAGCCGCAGTCCCATCTAAGGCTGGATGAAGAAATTTAGAATTTATATTTTCCAAATTTACCATTCTTGAAAATCCATAATTAATGTTGGCCAAATTAGGCATTGAGCTCAACCTATACGTTGAAAACACTGTTCAACAAATAAAAAGTGAAAAAACCGGCGCTCCGCTTCGCTCCGCGCCGGTTTTTGGCGGGGCTTCGCTCACCCCCCAAGTCCTCCAGGACCTGTTTACCCTAGGACCCCTGTTTAGGACCTAGTTTGGGTGTCCGGCCTCAGTTGTTCTGTCTGTGTAAGTGACCCGCGCGTCCACCGCGGGAAGAGTGTATTTTCCGAAGGGAGGGGCGGGAGCGGGGAGGTATCAATCTTTGGAGGTTGGATTTACGTTTACACTGTTGGAGGCATTGATTATTCGAATAAGGACTTCATGTCGCCAGATCCTCATGTAATGTCTGATATGAAAAAATGTCAAAAAACGCTGTGGCAAGCTCGAATGACGATGGATGAATCTCCATAACCCACTGTGCGACAACATTGCCGTTTTGTCCACCAATTATCAGTCTGTAACCCACTGTGCGACAATATAGCCATCGTGTCCACCAACTATCAGTTCGTGACCCACTGTGCGACAACATTGCCGTCTTGTCCATCAACTTTCAGTTCGTGACCCACTGTGCGACAACATTGCCGTCTTGTCCACGAACTTTCAGTTCGTGACCCACTGTGCGACAACATTGCCGTCTTGTCCACCAACTTTCAGTTCGTGACCCACTGTGCGACAACATTGCTGTCTTGTCCACCAATTTTCAGGGCGTTACCCACTCTGCGGCTTCCCTCCTCTTTTGCCGCACACCCCCCGCCTAAAACTTTCAAAGCTCGGCATTTTTAAACGGCTCGACCGCTTTCGCTCAAATTCAATACCAGCCTAGAACTAATTAAGAGCTACCTTCTGTAAAAATTTCGGGGGAAAGCTTTTAATTTGCGCGAGTTATCGCGCCCACAAAATTGAACCTCCCCCCACTTCTCGCCCCCACCATTCGAAATGTAATACTTCGATCTCCATATTTTTCCGCAGAATGGTAGTCCTGCTCCTCTACTTAATGTCATAAAAACTTTCACCTGGAAATTTTTTAAAATAGGGGAAATATAACCCAGCAAAAATCGGAAAAACCACAATGAGTCGGAAATACATACATAAATAAACAGATATATATATACATACATATATAAACATGGATTCAAACGGCATGCATATTCGTAATCTACGACCCATGATCGATGCTCATTACATGGTCTTTGGTCCAGGTCTATCACCAGGGGAGAACACGATAGTGTATTTCCTTCAGAAAATACACTAAAAATGTCTCCTAGACGAGATAAGTTGATTCTTACATATTTGAAGGCAAGGGAAATTTTTTTGAATTTCCCTGGAAGTGGGAATTGTCTGGAAAAGCATTTGGCCTGAGATAATTGGACCCTCCAGGAGACGGGGAGTTGTCAGAGATTAGTGAAGGTCTAATTCGGGTTCAGTGGCTTGAAAAACAGCAGGAAAGACCTGACTAGGATCTCGAAAAATTTCTGAAACTCCCAAGAACAGGAAAATCATCGCAAAAATACCTAAAAAGAGCGTTTTTTGAGGAAAAGCGACTTTTCCAGAAAATTGATGGGTGATAGGCAAAATCTGAGATCATATTCGGATTCAGCAGTCTAACTTACACAAGGATCGATGTATCACACATCAAAGACATTTTTACGATGTACTTTTAATACACTTTGAGTCCGGGCCACTTTGATACGCTTTTACACAATTTTAGGCTTGGAAAAATCAGCTTTACCGGAAGCTTGAGGGTGTTGAAAAAAACCGAGGTTATATTCAGATTTAGTAGCTTAAAATACATAAGAATCACTCTACCATGGAGGAAAAGTTTTCAGGAAAATTTATAAAAATAAATTGCATGCATGGCAAATATACGTCAAATTTGCGCTTTTTCCCCGAAAAAGTCGGTTTTCCGGAAAACTGAGCCAGATATGATAGGGAAAAGTGAGGGCCATTTTTGGACTCGGCGGCTCAATATACATTGAGCAAGGTCTCATTTCGTACCTGAGAAAAATTTTACCTACATTCTGCAGGGGATTACTGTCGGAAAAACACCAAAGATGGCTATCCTCTGAGTAAAGTCGGCTTTTTCGGAAAATTGGAGGATGATGGGAAAAAAAACGGAGGTGATATTCGGATTCAACGCCCCAAAATACGTAAAGATCACCTTATCTCGTCCGGGAGACATTTTTAGGCAGATTTCAAAGAAATATCTACCTATTGCAGACGCACGGTGGATCGAGTCATAGGGCAGGCCGGACATGGCACATTGGACTTGGTTTGCTCATTTACGTAGTGTTTGCGCTCATAAAACAAATCAGGATACATGATTCTTATGTATTTTTCGTCGCAGATTTCATTTTTGATGACTATTTTCCTGATTATTGGGTTTAGATATGTATTTTGGCACAATTTCAGATAAATAAAGAGATATTGTTTAACAACAGATAAGTTTAAACTTTCTACACTCATTTCAATCGAAGTTTTAAGTGTTCAATGGACTTTTCTCTCCGGTAAAATGTTTAAATATCGTATATAAAACGTATATTACTCATCTCTTTTACCATTCTCCCTCCTCTCCCCCAAAAAATGAATTAATAGAAATCCGAAAATGTTGAGAGGAAAACAGAGGATCTCCTTTCCCTTTCATTCCTGGGTCACCTTTTTAGCTTTCTAACAAAAGAAAATGACAAGGGGGAAAAATATGAGAGAAAAATACAAATCAAATACACATCAATCAACACCAATCATCTATTATCCGAGCCTTCCTAATTAAGGGCCCCGCGAGTCACCATTGTACACTGCCTTTATTTATACTTAGGTATCTAATGGAGCTTTTTCGGCTTAATGATTGCTGCTGAAGCTCAAATTACCTCAATTTTCTCTATTAACTTCTAATTTTCCGAAGAAATTAAACATAAAAAAAAAAAAAAAAAAAATCCGATGTCAAAAAACGCGAGTTTTTGGGAAATAGTTAGAAGATAGAAAAGAATTTAGGCCATTTTTGACTTTAGCATCAAGTAGTAGATGAAAAATGCTCCATTAGACACCAACTTGATATAATTTTCCCGTCTTTTCAGACGCAAAACAAACGGATCAGTATAATAAGCGTCGATTAGGACATTTGAGAGGAAAACCCCGTTATCTGAAACAACGTGGACATTTTTTTAACCACGCAAGGCATGTTTTCTCATGTATTTTTGTCTCCTGGATTCGAAAATGACCTTGGTTTCTCTTTACCATGCACCAGTTTTCCGGAAAATCACATTTCCCGAAAAGTCCATTTTAAGTAGAAAATCTCAATTTTCCGGAAAATCGGTGGGTGTTGGAGAAAAACCAAGGTCATTTTCGGACTCAGCACTAAAAATTACATACAGATCACCTATCAAATGCCCGGTGTTTATTCGCCACAGACCTGTGAAATTCGAATTCTCTCGAGCCACCATTTTATGAACTTCACTTTTTCAAAATCATTTAAGCTTTATTCCCAAAATGGCACTTTGGGGCAGCCAATTTTTCTTGATAATGAATCTTCAGGGATCAGTTAATACTGCTATATAAAGGTTTCCCTGAAATACGCTGAAATAGCTAGTTAAAAGTCTACCTATATTATTATTTTTACGGTATTAAGGAGGGCACTTTTAAGCAAGAATACTGCTCATAAAAATAGCGATATTTTAACTTGTTATTAGTGAAATATATTCTACTTAAGGAGGAGGACAAGCTACTTTAGTCAGAAATTGTCATAAATCTATCGGAGGGAAATACCAACAGGCGAACGGTTTGTTCCGAGTGAGGCAACATTTTTCGAGTGCCGCCTAAGCCACTTTAGGAGGCTGTGTGCGTTAAACTGGGGTTAAAAAATTAAAAACCAATACCTGTATCATAAAATATAACTCTTTGGGAAGACATTTACATCAATGAAATGA